AAAGCCTTTCTTGAGTGCAGCTCTAGCCTAATGGTCTGCATTCTAAAAGTGCAAGAAATTGGTGATGACGAATCAACCTCGCAGACCTTGCAATCTTTTTGGCAACCAGAAGCAATGGGCATCGCATATTCAACGGAACCTTCCTCCCACGAGTCTGTTGCGCGATTCCACTGGGAAATTGCGCTATGACGTCTACAAAGATTAACATGGAACCTATCAACGATGGAAAGAATGTTGCAGCAATATGACACAGTAATCCGGCAATATCTGGAGTTGGGCAACGCGGAAGTGATGCCTAAGGATACTCCTCGGAAGCAAGATCACGCCATATATTATATGCTACATCGAGAAGTAATAAGAGAGGAATCGTTAACTACCAAACTGCTTGTAGTGTTTGACGCATCGTCACACACCCAATGTGTACCATCCCTTAACGACTGCTTGGATAAAGGAGTGAACCTCAATCCAAAATTGTTCCAAGTCTTTCTTCACTTTTGGTGGTTCCCTGTCGCCATCAATTCTGACATCGAAAAGGCATTCTTACTAATTGAGATACAGGAGACTGACTGAGATGCATTCCGGTTTTTCTGGTTTGACTCCATTTCCGTAAGCCAACACCATAAACTCGTCGAATGGCGCATGACACGGGTATCGTTTGGATTAACTTCAAGCCCTTTCTTGCGCATGGCAACTATTCACTACCGCTTTGATAACGCATGTGAAGACAAAGAGCTCGCTTCTACATTAAAGAAGGCATTTTATGTCGACGATTCATTGGTGGGTGCGGACACATTCCATGAAGGTCGGCGCATCTACGAGCAGTCGAAAGCAATTATGAAAAATGCTGGCATGAAGCTCAGAAAGTGGAAGACCAATGACCATTAGCTGCAGAACATTTTTAACAACCAGCAGGAGCAAATAGAAGGAGCATCCGGAGAAGCAGCTGCGGTCTTGGGAATTCATTGGGATATAGAAAATGATTACTTCAAATTTTCTTCCAAGTCTGTGGCCCAGTATTTAGTGGCTGGCCAGCTCGACACAAAACGTACCCTACTGAAGGTTGCTTCTCGAATTTATGATTCGCTTGGCATTCTATCCCCATTCACCATCACTGCGAAGCTTTTGTTTCAACGCCTTTGGGTTTTAGGCCATTCCTGAGATAAAGAATTGCCCGCGAAGATCAGGACGCAGTGGACAGCCAGGTGTGCAGATGTAATACAGCTCGGCCACATAAAGATTCCGCGTTGCGTGAAAGACCGACTGCATGGAGCACTTGAAGAGGCTGAACTGCATATATTGGTCAACGCCAGCCTGAAGGCTTATGAAGTATGTGCCTATTTGAGAGCATTTCATGAAGGTGGGAACTCAGCTACCTCTCTGATAGTAGCGAAGTCAAGAGTGGCACCTATTAAGACATTAAGGCTTCGAAAGCTCGAACTTATGGTCGCAGTATTGGGAGCCAGATTGCTAAAATACATTTGCTCCTCATGGGATTTCAAGCATTTCCATAGCGTCATGTGGACAGACTCCATGATCACACTGAGCTGGATCCGCAGAAACTATAGCAAGTGGAGTCAATTTGTAAAGCACGTAGTGACTGAAATAATGCAAGTTACTTAAACAGCGTTATGGCGCTACTGCCTGGGCAAAGACAACATGGTGGATGTACTGACTAGAGGCATACCGATAAGGACTCTACATGCATGTCGCTATTGGTGGTATGGACCAGAATGGTTGTCCCAGCCAAAATCAAGCTGGCCTCCAGAACCTAACCAGTACACACCGATAAACGAAAAGGCAGAGATTGAGACGCAACATGTATTCAAGCGTCGTCCAGAAACTTACACCCGGTAATCGATATAAGGAAGCATAGCGACCTGCAGAAGCTCCTGCGCCTCCCCGCCTGGGTCTTTTGCTTTGTGGATCGATGCCCTGAACTTCAAACTTCGCTGAGCGAAACAATTTTGGCACGGGAGATAAGCAAGTCAGAAATGTTTTGGGTCCGACATGTTCAGCTGAAGTATTCGCGAAGGACGTCGAACAACTGCAGTCTGGACACACTTTCTCCAAACAGTCTAAGCTTGTCGAGTGAAAGCTCAAGACGGGAAGTTTTTCAGAGAACCAGTGCAGAAATTGTACTGGCTGAAATCGAGCGACGCTACTGGGGGGCGGAATATGTTGTAAAAGAAAAGAAATAAACGTGTGCAGGCTAGTACTGCAAGAGAAGAAGAAGTTGGAAACAAGAAATAGCGTTCGGTCTGGTTTCTTCGCCGATCGGTAGTTTTCCTTTACAACCCTCATGTGTTAGCTCATTGCACATGCGCCACTGCATGGGGAGCCTTCCACTGCATGGGGAGCCTTCCGTTTACTTAGCTTTCATTAATTTGAACTTCTTTTAATTCGAACGAACTTTTGGGCCTCTTTGAGTTTGAATTATCGAGATTCGACTGTACTTATGTATACCTTCTCTAGTACGAAGAAACACACCACATAGTGTTGATACTGTGTCTCAGATAGGCGTATTATTTTTTTATTTGACAATCACAGAAGTATAAACGCAGAAACCAGAGCAATATTGGTGGGTGCTGTAGATATGGTTGGATTTTAGCCGGGTATCATTTCGATAGACAAGCACACAAAGAGACAGAAAGACCGACCAAATGTTCGTGTGGAGGTACCCCAAGAAATATTATCGTCTTTAAAACTTGGGTGATATTTCAGGCCATACACAGTGCTTTGACGTCCCAGCGCTCTAGATTGTAAGGCTATTCAGGACAGCATTACAATCTCTCAGCAGCACATGACTGGAAGTTGTTCATGTCGGATTTTATCTGCATTAGCGAACTTAAGGGGGGATGCTACTCGAAGACACTTTTTTAAATATTCAGCCTAGAGCAATGAAACTTGAGCTCTTTATGGAAATTTTTATGCTGATTTCAAATATATAATTAGTTTTCTTGCAAGTTGCATACTTCTAGCTCTGCAACAAGCCAAAGTGAAAACCTTGATTATTTCGCCCCCCCCCCCTATTTTCATCTCAAAACTACCATAATTTTTACCATTCATAGTTCATAATGTTTCAATTAAAATGCAGAATGCAAATAATTAATTAGGAAGCACATACAAAATATGTAGTAGACGTGGAAAATAATAGACAAAGGAAGTCCATATTTCACCTAGCCTAGTGAAGGTTTACATAGAATTTTTTATTATACAATAAAGCATTGAAATTTAAACTAGATAATTGTATTTGTTATACTTTGGGAAAAATTTGGCAAAATATTTTGCATATTCGAGTACTAGAAGTGCCCAAAAAAGAAGGGGCACATTGTAAAAAATGGCAAAACTTGTGTTTTCAGAAAAAACTAGTTTTAAAGTTGAAATTCAGTATTCATTTATCAAAGATATCATTACATCTGATGAAATTTGCGCACCAAAAAGAACAATCCTTTTTGCAGCGGCCACTGCCACTAAAATATGCCAGCACTATGAGTTTGTCTCTCTCGGCTTTTTCGAGCCGACTCCTCACAGACATTTTGCTCACAGACAGGGCCATGAAATGCTTGCCAAACTGCTGCTACATCTGGCAGAGCCTTGTGCCAACTGGGGCTGAGAAACTGCAAGCTAGGAAGAAGTTCGACAGGACTGCGAAATCTAAACTAAGTCCAGTGTCATGCCATTTTGTGGCCACGTTTGTGCCACATACCGTCGTACACAATGGCAATGTTGTCCCCTCTAAGTTCCCTCACTGCGAGCTCCTTCGCCATCGCAAGATTGGCGCTGACGTCATCCATCGCCACATCATGAACTTTCCAGCTGACCGGTGTGAATGACTTTTGGTGCATTGGCTTTTGCAAACCAACAACTGCCGCAAATCGGACCAGCTGCTCGTAGCCTACTCCTACAGAGCGTGGTGCACAACGGCTTTCACATGCGAGCAATGGCTTTTTTTCATTCATAACGAAGATAAATACACTAGAAAAGCCTGGACAAGACATGGACCCCGCAAATATGCTCCACAGCACATAAAGGCGCACAGCGACCAATGGCGGTCCCCGATCCGTACCACGTGATAAGCCAGTCGCGGCGCTCGTAAAACGCGCAGAAGCAGGCTTCTTTTTATTATTTCTTCTGCTGCATCAGCGAGGGAAACTGTTGTTATTTAAAGGGTGAGGCTCGAGTTTTCTGCTCATGGGATCAACAATGGCGAGCAGCGGCGCGTTATCGGCGGCAAGGTGCTTGAAGACTGCACACTTTGGACCTTTTAACAGCCACCTTGTGCTCTTTAGATGCAATTTTAAAGCATTTCTAGTTAAGTCTCGACCTGCGTTTTGTTTTTTTTATAACAGTAAAGGTACCAATTTTATCAAAACAGGCGAAAATAAAAAATCGGTAATTTTGAAGTAAACTCTTGTTTTTCGACCCACATCTTTTCTTAAGGACTATACTTTTTGTGTTATTTTTGTCTCTTTGTGTTTGCAGGGTTTTTTTTTCTTTGTTTCGTTTTTTGCCACACAACATGTTGGCAAAGTGGATGAGCAAAAATAGTAATCTCTTCTGTCTACATGCGATGAAATCTAGACTGTGTGTTTGTCAACAAAACTTTGCAATGCGTTTGATCCCGCACACCTCACAAAATCTTTTGGAGCCTGGCGAAAATACAGCACCAGTTGCTCTTTCATGCATACTGCACTCAAAGTTGTTATGCTGAAGCGGTTCTAGTAATAGTGGTTTAGCCATTAGCTTCCAGTAGGCAGCTGCGTTTGACCTCGCTGTCGACAGAAGCCCAGGCTCATGTCTGCACTTGGATAGCACGGCATGGCAACAAGATGATGAAATACCGTGGTCTTTTTTTGTTTGTTTGTTTAGCTGAGAATAGCAGACCTAGTTCTGCAGCTGCACTATTCTCGCAAATTCATTTAATCAATGCAGCGAGTCAGCCTAGTAAAGCTGTGGAATTCCGCATGATGCTTATCTGACAGCCCACATCGATGATGCAGGTACAGATGGCCAGGATGGGCCTACGGATGCGGCAGGTGCCATGGTGCACATCACAACCGTGCCCGAGGCCTCCGCTCAGGGCATCGACGCCATAGGAGACCTGGAGCGCAACGATTCGCACCACTTCTTTCGCACCTTCAACAGTGGTGCCGACCACCTCATCACGGGGCTCACCGGCACCAATGTCATGGACTTGCATATGCTGCTGCTGCGCCGAAAGCCTGCTAATAGCTAGCACCAACTCTTCAGACTGTTTCATTTTTTTTAATTTTCAATAAAATAATTATGCTGGACTAGAATGCTTGAAAGCTGAGACTTAAGTCTCAGCTTTCATGCTTGTGGACATTGCATGTTGTGCATCTGTTGTGCGGCAATGGCAGCAGCTGTGAAACCTCCAAGGGCTGTTGATGAGACATGCTTTCTTAACAATTTTTAATTTATCCCTATTACATTACAGGTTGCGATTGCATGCCTGCGAAGTCTCCCAGATTGGCCGGGAGACTCCTGGATTTTGACCTTTTTTTTACGGTTCTTTCTTTCTTTATTGGTTTATTAAGAACAATTACAAAATTGTCCAAGGAGACACGGCAAAAAGGCAAGCATTGCCTAACTGGGCCGTGCCACCCATATAGCAGCAGCAGCAGCAGCAGCAGAAAAAGACTATTACAAATATAAAAGGGTACATGGAAATCAAATACTACACCTCTAATCAATATTACACAGTCCTATAGCAAAAAAAAAGAGAAAACATACGTACAATTTAGCAAAAAAATATTGCATGCGCTACTCTCGAGCAGAAAAAAAAAAATCGCATTATACTCATCTACACACATAAAAAAAAAAAGACTGGGAACAACTTGTAGGGCTCGTAATCTACATGTAAGAAGAGAAAAAAAAATCAGCACAATACATAATATTCTTTTATTTGCATTAGTCCTCTGAAAATAATACTTTTTTATTGTTTTTTGATATGCTTGCTTCTCAATTCCAGATTTCAGAAGATCTATGGTAAAGGTATACTCATTGAGGAGGTTAGGAATTTGAACAGCATGTTTTTGTTCTCCGTAATTTGTTCTGCTACATGGTATAAATACAGAACTATTTCTGAATTTGTAGCCTGTCGTTTTCACACTGTACTTAATCTGGAAGGAATGTTTGTCAGACTTAAATTGCCGCATAACTTCAAGAAATAGTTTGTATGTGTAGAGTTTGGGCACCTTTATTATTTTATTTTTGGAATAATATATTTAGGTGCTTATCTCACAGTTTTGAAGCATTTGAAGTGATCCTAAATTATACTGTGTTGTGGTCGAGAAAACTAGAAAACAGTACGTTAAACGGGAATGTATAAGTTCGTTGTAGATGTGGTGCTTCATGCTTGTTGGTAGTAAATATTGCAGCCTGTTTAATGCACCTACAGTGCGGACAATACTACTCTTGAGAGATTATCATGACGGTTGTCATGAAAATCTCCCGAAAATTGAAATTTCTGTGCCTGATCTGGCCGCATTGACAAAAAAGCAACTAAATCAGCTCCAGGATTTTCGAACCTACCCCATTTTATTATAAATGAGTTTAAGCGTTCATGTAAACGTACAGTATAATCTCAGCGATGCGCGTAGCGTTTCTTGGGTTCTCAAATGCAGAAACCCAAGACAGGTGTTTCTCCGACATCATACATGACGACATCATACATCATACATGTTCAGGTGTTTTTCCGACATCATACATGACGCCTGGTTTTTGCCAAATTTTCTACCGGGGCGTCTGTCACTGCTGTGTCTATTTTTACATACTCCGCATCGGCTGAAAGTATTTCCTTTCGTGCGGGACCAGCAATCGGCTGCGCAATGGCCCACTTTGTCACACAGGAAACAGCGACTTGCAGGCTTCTCCGTCTTTTTTGCGGATTCCGGCTTGAACACCGAAGGTCCCGAATCCTTGGGAATCCGTTCTCTTCCTAAGTTTGTGAGCGCCTGTGCTTCCATGAAGTCATCGGCAGCCTCGCACAGCGAACTCAGGGTTTTGCAACTTCTTTCCTTGAGAAAGATCCTGAGTGACGGAGAACAATCCTTCATGAATTGCTCACTTATCATAAGGTCTCGCAAGCTAGCAAAGCTTGTCTCCGTTTTTCCCACTTCAAGCCAATGATCAAAGTAGCTGGAGAGTCTGGCAGCATACTGCTGACCAGTCTCGTTTTCTTCGGGCTTCGTTTTACGAAATTTTGCGCCGTAGGTTTCCGCAGTATAGCGGAACCTCTGAAGAAGTGCCGCTTTTCAGCTGATCATAATTCAGCGCACCTGTTGGATCTAACCTGCCTATGACTTTTAGCGCTTCTCCTGTCATGCATAGGCTAAGCGAAAGAGCCCACTTTTCACGCGGCCACCCTTGACACGTTGCGACCTGTTCAAATCGCTGCAGGCACGTGTCGAGGTCATCCTGAGATTCATGGTAGGGCGGAATCAGTTTATGAGAACTTGAGACCTCTGTAATTCCTCTGGCGCTCATGCTGGGTCCTCCTTGTTTGTCAGCCACTATTGGCTGTACCCTGCTTGCGCTCTCCTGAAGTCGAAGTTTCAGCTTGAGGATCTTTAGCTCTTGTTCTTGCACCTTCTGCTGCTGCTCTAACAGCTTCCGCTGTCGCTCGGCGTTTTCTTTCGCGATCTTGCACTCCTTAGCACGCTCATCTCGAGCTTCAACGCACTCTAGCTCAACCCACTCTCTGAGCTCCTCGTTCTCCGACACTAGCTGTCGGCCAAGTGCAATAAATTTCTCCCTGTTCATGACAAAGGCTCTGTCTGAGTATTGGCTTTAGATTTTAATAAGCCATCCTGGCAGAGGCTCGCCAAATGTGGCGGTTCTTGGGCCCTCAGAGGCAGAAACCCAAGACAAGGACAAGAAAAACATTTATCGACTTCACACACACGGAACAATCACAAAACTGTGGCTATCTGTACAGCACAGTTACGTTCCCCAGTCCTTACGGTCCCGTAGCCTAGATGTATCTCTAAACATGCCCTGACGCGTTCAGAATTATCGTTCGTAGAGGTCACTCATGACACCGATGACCGCGCAGTTAACACACACTGGAAGCAGGAGAGAGAGCGCGCTGACTTCTCCGGCTCAGGAACGATCCGAAGCACAATGACTCTGCGTAGCGCCGCTACCACGCCACAGTCGGTTGTGCCAGATCACGAACCTACACGCGGTACGAAGGCTACGCCCTCAGCATGCGGTTGTGCCGGACAAAAGCACACACGGTACCATAGACCGACTCTGTAAGCTGGTTGATCTCGGACACCATCTGGCCCACGATCAGCACCTCACCCTAGCCTGCTCACACGTCACCAAGGAAACGCGCCACTAGGCCCAGTCTGGAAGCCACCCGCTCACCGCAGGAAACGCCAGGCTCGTGCTGGCTGGTCCGATGGGCCCAACGTGGCAAAGCATGCTCTTGCAACTGGCCGCGCTCTTCCTCTGCCCGTCGCTGTTCCAAAGCTCTCGCGCTCAGTTCGTCTGACCCCGCTTCCTCGTCTTCATTTGTGTCAACACTTTTGTTCGCACTTTCAGTTTCGGTTTCTTACTACATGCGAAACCGCGGAGATACGAATTCTTAAATTCCCCAACAAAATTTTACTATGTTGATAGGGCCTCAATTTGAATGTTTTGAACACATTTCTCAATCGCGGCGAGTGATACGAACTTTAGTACAGAAATTGTCGAACAAAGGCCGAGAGCAGCGTACCATAAGCTTCAGAAGTACGCGTGCGGCCGGCGCACTACAGTGCATGTGATTGTCGTGGCCACATCTACTGAGGACGAAACCACGGTCGCTCTTGACACGATCATGTATGGCAATGACGTAACTGAGAGAACCCCGAAAGTGTGCGCTCAAATAGTCAAAGCAAGGCTACTTTCCACAAACTCTCTGGACAAACCTGCGGCAGATGCTATCGTAGATGGCATAAAACGACTTGGTTTTGAAGGCGCGTACGCAGCCAAGCGCATGGGGATTGTAAAATGAACTACCGTTTGCCGCAACCGTGGCACACAAAACCGCGGTCATGATGACGCGACAGCGATCTAGGAGCTCTGAGGGCGTGCAGCGGTAGGTTAAAGACAGTAAATACGTAAAAAAATAAGAAAAGTTACAGTTTCGCCGCAAGTGCGAAGCAACGAATGCGAGAGCAGCAACTTGGAATGTAATGCAGAAAACAGCAAGCAGATCAAAAGGTGCGGCGCGCTGCTCACACACAAATGACGCACGAAAACGATACTCGCAGCAAGAATGCAAACAGCATTTACAGCTCGACACATAACGCGCTGTTTAAACAAAAACGATGCACGATACGTAATCACCGGTACAGATGAGTACAAACTAACAAGTGTCCGAGTTGTATTTCGCTGTGTATGTAAAGCACGCTGTTTTCGCAAAAGGGGCCTGTGCAGAGACAGGAGTGACCTCTTTGGGCCCCGCAACTAACGCTTTCGTCTCAGTGAAAGCCAAAGGCACATGATTCCCCCACTAAAGGATAAGCACGTGTGTGCAGGTATCCATCCATAGGGCAAAGTACATGTGAGAGATAGGCACGCGTCGGCGCATCGCGACAAGCTTGGGACCGAGCGTGGACGGCTTTTTTTTTCTTTGAGTGTTCATATATATATTTACATATGTATACATATATGATGAAGCACGGTGGCGACGGCAAAAATATTCTGGACTGTCCATATAATTGCTATTGCAATAAAAAGGGGCCAGACGTTCTAGGGGGTCCATCCTATGTATGGCTGACGCAGAAGCCTTACTAAAGCCTCAGACGCACACAGTCGTACTATGCACGATTAATGTCCCCTATCTGTAGCTCGTCTCACTGCAGCTACATGGGTTCGGGCGAATAAGGCGAATAGGTCAACATAACGACACTTTATTGCTAGACGTTAGCAATAGGGCGCAAATGTCGCGAGCAGGTAGTACAGAAAACAAGGGTAGACGCTTACTCCTTTGTCGTTGTCGTCCTCGGTTCGCGGGGGGGGGGGGGGGGGCGTTGCAGGTTCGTTTTACCTCCTTCTTCCAAGGCCTTTGTCAGAGAGCCCGTGCGGCCGTCCGCACGCTATTTTTGTCCACTGACGCGGTTTCCTTCTCCCTGATGAGAATAATACCTTTTCTCGCTGAGGGAGGGGAGACCCAAAAGAGTGGCTACTTGGGCTGGTTGGTATTGCATTTTTGAAAGAAATATACTTTCTTAGTGCACAGGGAACGTTTTTTGAAGAAAGATGGAGCCGAGAGATAGGA